TCCAAAACTGTGTGCTCATCACAGCAGTTTTTTACCATTTCTTAGGAATTAAAAGGTATTAGTCAAGCTTAATTTGTTTTTTTTCCAGACATATTAAGAGCTATGTTACCTCTTTGAAAAGTGTAGCTGCAATAAAGGAACAAAATAACTGCTGCATTAAAAAAAAAAATCATACTGTCTTGCCTAATTCTCATTTAGAAGGTATTAGAGTCTACTTTGACAGAAAAAAACAATCTGGTGACTCTATATTCAGACTTGAACACTCAGAATTAAGGTTTCCCCTAGAAGCAAAAAATGTTGCAGTTAAGTTTGTTCAGCTCTGCCGTAGTCACTGAAAGGCATAAAGATCCAAAGCAGGAAGAAAATAAAACCACCTACACAGGCACCTTGCATTCAAACTGTTTTAGCTGCATAGTAAAGACTGTCAAAAGAACACATTTCTCCCCCTTTGTAATTGCTACAAATAGATTAAAAACACTCTATTGAAAGGTAAAAACATATCAGGTGAAAACAGGCCTTAGCAATTTTATCAGCTCGTATACACAGTCAATACAAAAGGTCAGCATTTAGAGGTCATCCAGTAAGACCAAGGTGACATACTGAAACACTAAGTCCAACTCTTGTGCCTCTGTTGGCTCTTGGGAAGGATTCCCCATGTTCTAACGAAGTGCCATCTGCAATCTGGCTCACAGCCTGCACTTGTATGACTTTTGTACCACCCAATCGCTAGCCAACACCTAACGCATCCCAAGATACCAACCTCAGCTAACGAAATCTCTCTGATGTGTGGTGTCACCCTGCTGCCCCCTGACTACTGAGGACATGGGAGGTCACCAGACTTCTGCATCTCCTCTGTCCCTTGTAAGGCTGTATCAGTATGTCCACCATATTATTCGCCTTTCAGACTATTTCTTTTGATACTTTAATTCTCCCCCTCCCTGCCCCACCCACAGCACAGCTCCAACACCTACCTCTACAAATGCTTCTCTTCCTCTCAGTCTGTGAAATCACACTGCAATGACCTACTGGCAGTTTTACCACTGTCACAGCACCCCAAAAACCAAGAAGAAAACAAGCCACGTCCTGTTAATTTGACTGCCGCTCCTAGGAAAGACTACGGACAGCCACACAACCACATGCAGCACTGAAGAAAACAAAACCTGCTTTTAATCCTTTCCAAAAGACTCTGTTTACAAGTTAAATTTTTTCCCCTGTGAAAAATCTGTAAAACAGCCATGGTAATTCCATACTTCTAAAAATCTGGAGTTGTCACAACACCCAGTTTTACTCTATGTTTGAGAGTTCAGCTTGTCCAGCTGGCTCACTTCACAGCATTACACATATTTTCTCCATTTCTCCTTGTTCAGTTTTCTGTTTTCTCTAAATACACTCACCTTTTATGCACAGTACTGAGCTTAAAAACTCACCTTTAACATAGGAAAAAAAAGCAGCTAAAAATGGCAGAGTAAATTAAAAGGGGCACAGCAATCACAATCATAGGCTTGTTTATTAGATTCGGAATTAACAACTCCCTGTAGCTACTTTAGCTACTCTACATGAAAAATTGTGAAAGTACTTTGCAGATCATCTATAAAAAATATCGTATTCAAATACTTGAGTTGCTTAGATTCACTTGATTTCTATCCTTATCTTCCATGCCTTTAACCAGAACACAACATCATTATACTTTACAAAGGAGAAGTAAAGATGCCTTGAAATCTCACTGTAGGTTTTTGAATACACACAGAAAAGGCTCCTCTCAGAACCAAACGTGCTAGTTCTACCATGTATTTGTGGGCTCTTGATTAATTAACGACAAAAAGGCCAGTGAAGTGACACAAGTTCTTTCTGGAAACTGGCCCTTGCACCAGTAAGTTCTATAAAATTCTGCTGTTAATATGAGGGCTTCTACGAACTTTAAAGCAAATTCACGAGGCAAAACCTACAGACTAATCCTACAGTTATTGCACAAGCTAACTGAATTACTGCTACACAAGCAAAGCGGCTGCAAGAGCTAATCCTTGGAATCTTTACATAGGTTTTCCTTTGTTTTCCAGAATTTAAACTTACTTATTTTTAAATTACATTTTTACCTGTCTGGTTTGAAAGACAGTTTACATTATGAAGGCCAGCCTGTCTAGCTGAATTCACAGCCGCAAAGGCAAACATTAGCTAAAGAAGGCAAGACCTTCATCATGTATCGTTATGCCTTCTTGTGTTTGCACTGTTATTCCCTGTATTACTTTTATTTCAGATGGTTAAGTGCCTCACAGCAGGAACCTCAGTTCTTCGTGTCTGTAAAGCACTACATGCATTTACAGAGCTCTACAAATTATTTCTACCAAATACTAACATGATTAGCTATTTTACTGCTTGAATGACGTACCAGATGTATCCAACCAAGTGGGCTTGTCTAGCACAGCTAGGCAAACTTTTCCTGTCTTGACATCCCATTGGAAACCGCTGCCAAAATACATGAACATCCAAAAAAAAAAGTAAAAAACGTGTCCTATGAAAGTTACCAAGACTTTTCTTTTGAGATCAAAAGGTACACACGCACAAATGCAAATCCAGCGACAGCTCAGCTGAGTAAACACATTTATTAAAATATTACTCTTTTTTTGGTATGCACAATATGACTATACGCACATATATACACACACACTTCATACACACAGTGTTGCATGTGTGTAGATAGACACACACACTGAAATTTCACAGAAGTTTCAGTCACCTAACTTCTGTCCCAAAATTTTATTTCTGCAAAACCAAACACAGAACAAAAGGAAATATTTCAGTAAGAATACATGTCGCTTCGCTTGCTGTTTTGATATTTTACTTGAAACAAATCTGAAAACAAATGCATGCCCTCCGACCAGTTTTGATCCATGCCCAAAACCATGGTTTTCTCAGCCTAACTGTAAACGTGATTTTTATCTTGAATACGATGACGTTAATAATGCCCCATTAAAAATATAACGATTTACACCAGATGCAAGTGCTGTTCTCTTCGTAAAGACAACTGGAACTCCACCTATCCCTCCTCCTTCTCCTCCAAAGATGATTCTTTCTGCTGGTACCGTGTTTTCTGGAGGCATGCCCCCCGTGACTTTGTGAAACTATTCCACCCGTCTTCAACTCGGGAATCAATTTGCAAACACAAGAAAATTTCCGACTTTGAAATCATCAGACACCACATTCAACCGCCCACGAACTCCCTGTCTCCACTTCATTAGTACAATATCGACTAGCTCTTCAACACCGACAGTGCAGTAAGAGCTGGCGTTTTGATGAAAAAAAAAAGAAGTGTAAAAAAAATCCATAACGAGGCAGACGACGGTACAAACCCGCGTTCTTTTTATACGGTACCTTTACACACAGCTTGAATGAAATAAACAGAACGTGGCATTTAAGAAGTCTGGAGGGGGGAGCAGCACTGTAAAACCGGCCTGCGCGCAGGGTGACCCGGGGCCGATTCACAGAAGCGCATGTCTACCGCGAACCAGCGCGCGTAGCGGCCGCTGCGATACCAGCGGGGAAGGGCCGCCGCTGCGGGAACTCCCCTCGGAGCCCG